CACACTTGCACTTGGGTAAAAATCTGAAGGGGCACAGTTAATTTGCACAACTGGGTGCACATGGTTCTGACAGCAACGTGCACACAATTTGACCCTGTTGGGAGTACAAAACTCCTGAGGCTTCGCTCACAAGGGTCATAGGAACATGCAAGCCCACTCACCACGACAAGGTGATGATCCAGCGAGTGATCTCTTAAGGCAAATCATTAAAAAAAAGTGTAGTATGAACACTGACAACTGGGAAACACTGGCCTGCGAGCGCTCCAATTGGAGAACAGGCTTTACCAGAGGTGTCATGGGTTTTGAAGACGCTCAAACTCAGGACGCAAGGGAGAAACGTGCTAAGAGGAAGGCACACTTGGGAAACCCTCACCGTGATCAACTCCTGTCCAGAAACCTAGGTCCCCACTGTGGAAGGAGGTGTGGATCCAGAATTTGCCTCCACAGTCACTTACGGACTCACTGTTGAAACCATGTTTATGGAAGACAATCTTATTCGGCTACGAGTGATCACCAAAGAAAGAATACAATTTGAGAGAACTCCTGGTCAAGGTTGCCAGACAACACATGTTTTTGGTATTCTTGTCCTATAATGGGTTAACCCTAAATCAAGGTGGCCCCATACAAGTGCAGAAATGAACACAAAGTTCTGAAATTGGTGGTGCTGCGGACATGATCCGATATACTGTGCTATTTTATACCTAGAAGCATCTTCTCGTGCTGTAAGCACATAATCTGTTTTATCAAAAGACCTTCAAGAGAACTGTAAGGTCACCTGCCAATCCAAACAGTTTTCTGCTAAATCTGATATTTTACCTTGCCAAGCCCTCTTCAAATCAGGAAAAGTGCCTTTAAGTACCTATTGCCCTGGGAAGCAAGTCAATACTATTATCTCAGGATTACATTTAAAATGTTATAATTGTTTAAGGCACAGCAGGGAAAAATAAACTTACTGGAATTTATCTGCAGTGATAGTTGAAACAAAAACTGAAGGAGATAAGTGTCAGAGACTACTGACAAATTCTAGCACATATTAAATGCCTATCGTTCTACAGACATAGGTCCTATAGTCAAGCTAGGCTACCAAACAGTATAGAGTAATTGCTAATTGTCACCAGCTAGTTAATGAAATCTACTAACTTCCAAGACTTGCTTCCTTAGCAAATTTAGAAGAACTTAAGTCTCTTTCTCTCTCTCTCTCTCTCTCTCTCTCTCTCTCTCTCTCTCTCTCTCTCTCTCTCTCTCTCACACACACACACACACATAGTGAAATTTATAAATGAGCCATCTATTTCCACACTTTCACAGTTTAAGTATCATATATATATATCTGTTTTTAAGGGAGTTCCTAGGTTATTTTTTTATGTCACCAGTAACGATACTAAAAAAATTAAAGGTAATAGGCAAAAGAAAATAATTAGGAGGACAGGATTACCATCATACCCACCAGACATTTTGGCGGCTAAACAGTACAAATTTTTTTTTAAGCTTCAAAATCCAAAGTTTTGTAAATTATTTACTTTCTACGAGGTCCTTTCTACTCCAAAGGGAGCTCTGATCCCCTGCCCAATGTGGTGAGCTTAGAGTCATTAAATAGGTATGAACCCATTTGGTTCAAATTTTCCCACTGACAAAAATGTCAGTTGGGAGAAACATAAATAAAGTAGCACGTTTATTTCAATTTTTTGCTATACCCAATAAATAAAATTTATTAGTGAAAGAGGTTTCGGCACAACTTAGCCACTTTCTCCACCACTTTTATTATTTCACATGGACCTGTTCCATATTGCTATACTCATCCAAGTCCCTCAACATTAAGAACAGGAAAACACTACGGCAGTTCTTCATATATTGCCATATAATCATCACCCACCTTGCAAGGTATGGCCCCAATTTAAGACTGGTGACGTTATTGAAGTTCCATGACACAAAGTCTATGCAAAAATCCCAGGTTACCTGGGAATATTTCAGCATGAGGTTCATAATTAGTGGCAGCTAAAGACCATCTTAGACAGCATCTTAAAAAGCAGAGACATCACCTTGCCAACAAAGGTCCATATAGTTAAAGCTATGGTTTTCCCAGTAGTGATGTATGGAAGTGAGAGCTGGACCATAAAAAAGGCTGATCACCGAAGAATTTATGCTTTTGAATTATGGAGCTGGAGGAGACTCTTGAGAGTCCCATGGACTGCAAGAAGATCAAACCTCTCCATTCTTAAGGAAATCAGCCCTGAGTGCTCACTGGAAGGAAAGATCCTGAAGCTGAGGCTCCAATACTTTGGCCACCTCATGAGAAGAGAAGACTCCCTGGAAAAGACCCTGATGCTGGGAAAGATGGAGGGCACAAGGAGAAGGGGACGACAGAGGACGAGATGGCTGGACAGTGTTCTCGAAGCTACAAACATGAGTTTGACCAAACTGCGGGAGGCAGTGGAAGACAGGAGTGCCTGGCGTGCTCTGGTCCATGGGGTCACGAAGAGTTGGACATGACTAAACGACTAAACAACAACAAAAAGACCATCAAACCCTGGTGCATTTTCAGTCCCTTTTCAGTCTGAGTGACCACAGAGTTTGCTCTGGAGCTGGGAAGAAGAGTCTCTCCAATCTAAAAATGGGCTGGTGTTTCTGCTGATCTCCTCCACTGGTCTGGCCCCAGTGGGCTCAAAGTATGAGTATTACTAAGTATGAGTATTACTAAGAAACCAACAAACAAAATCCTTCCAGTAGCACCTTACTGGAAGTATTACTGTCCCTTTTGCCAAAGTCTTCTGATACCTTGAGGCCACATGGACTTGTGCAGAACTTGGGGATTCATCACTGCATTGCATTCAACAACATGGCCTTGTTCTGATACAAGCCTTGAGCTCACATGGAAGGTAACTTGGACAAAACTTAACACTGGGGACCTCCTGCACCCCTACCCCATGTTATCATGGAACCACAGAATTAGAAATACAGTGGTACCTCTGGTTACGAACTTAATTCGTTCCAGTTGTCCGTTCTTAACCTGAAACTGTTCTTAACCTGAGGTACCACTTTAGCTAATGGGGCCTCCCGCTGCCAACGCACTGGAACACGATTTCTGTTCTCATCCTGAAGCAAGGTTCTTAACCCAAGGTACTATTTCTGGGCTAGCAGAGTCTGTAACCTGAAGCGTCTGTAACCCAAGGTACCACTGTATGTTACTTATGATTAGTAAAACTAAGAGCACCAGGCCGTTTGGGGGATAAAACAAGGAGGAGCAGAACCATGAGCACCACCTGGAACTTATTGAAGGAAAGGTGGAATGTGAATGTAAAAACAAGTAAATAAATATCAATCTGAAGTTTTGTGCATGTGAGGGGAAATGGTACCTGACAGCAGCTAAATTATTAGGAATGGGAGATAACTGGCTTCTTAAAAGAACTGCTGTTTCTGGGAAACTTTCTGGAATCCATGCAAGGCCCATCTGTTCACACTGTGAACAGGGGAAGAGCATGCTGGGTCTGTTTTATGTGCTATTCTGAAATGTGTTTTGGGGGGCTATATGCTCTTTTTAGTAATATTAGCTTTTTTAAAAAGTTAATTTATTCTGTTTTGCTCTTTTATTTATTTGTACTCACAGCTCGCACCTTTCACCTAACACCCAGGACAGGTAACAAATATCACAATCGAAATAAGTACAATATACACTAAAACCATAAAATCAAATCAAAACAACAGTAACAACAGCAACAACAGAACAAGAAAACTCCAAACCAGAATTGCAGTGCATAGCCATGCAGAGAATCTGGGTAAAGAGGCGTATCTTGACAAACTGTCAAACAGAATACAGTGGTACCTCGCAAGACGAATGCCTCGCAAGACAAAAAACTCGCTAGACGAAAGGGTTTTTTGTTTTTTGAGCTGCTTCGCAAGACGATTTTCCCTATGGGCTTGCTTCACAAGACGGAAACGTCTTGCAAGTTTGTTTCCTTTTTCTTAACACCGTTAATACAGTTGCGACTTGACTTTGAGGAGCAACTCATAGAACGCGGTGTGGTAGCCTTTTTTGAGGTTTTTGAAGACTTTGGTGATTTTTGAAGCTTTTCCAAAACTTTCCCGACACCGTGCTTCGCAAGATGAAAAAAATCGCAAGACGACAAAACTCGCGGAACGAATTAATTTCGTCTTGCGAGGCACCACTGTAAAGTGATGGTTCAAAAATGCACTACAGAAGGGAGGTCTTTCTGCAAGCTGGGAGCCACCACAGAGAAGGCCCTGTCTACCGCCCCCCAAACCACAGACAGTGGCAGCAGTAGTGGCAGCAGGGCCTCCCCTGCAAATCTTAATTATCTGGACACGTGGACATGGGAGGAGGAACTGCTTCAGATATTTGAGGACCCCAGTCATTTAGGGTTTTAAAATGTCAATATTAACACACTGAATAGAACTTGTTAATGAATTGGCAGTGATGCTGCTGGTGGCTATCTCTGGCTAGACATATACATATACATATACATATACATATACGAATGACACTAGTCTTGAAAGGTTTGCACTGGGCACCAATTCACAACCAATTGGATGAGATGGGCCTTTAGTCTGAAATTCAACACACACATACCTTTGGTTTGGAGCTCGAGAAAGCAAGCCACATGTGTATGAGAGGGAACAAAGAAATTACCGGTATCTTCATCATCTTCCCAGTAAGAACCCCCTCCCTCCCCACACGTGTAATTAATTAAGGAAAACCAAGGTATGCAGTGGCATATTATTAATGAACCTAACATCCATTCTGGGCCCTGAGCACACATCACTTGGTCCGCCTTCGGTTGTTTTCCTCCTCTTAGAGTTGTTTTTTCTTTATTTCTAAAAGATGTTTCGTTTTGTACTTCTGCAAACATCAAGCTTATCTTGTGTGTAGGTGGTGCCTCTTTGGCTACAAAAGGAATGGCAAGCACCAGGTGCCTATCAGAATGGTGGTGCTTAGAACCCTATATTATTCTCCCATGTCACGTCCATTCCAGTTCCTAAGCAGATGTACAGGGCTAGTCAGAGTTCTTGATTAAACCAGGAAATCAAACTGGCATGCACACAGTTATAAAGAGCCCACAAGGCCAGATGCAGAGGGCAGTAATTCATGCTCTGAGAAATGGGCTTGTATACTTTGGCAGATGAACATTGCCATGAAGTGTGGAAACAGTGTACTGAAACTTCCACTACTCAATCCCTCTGAACGCTTAGCTATATCAGAAAGGTGTGGGGGTGTGGAGGATTATATGAGAACTTCCGCCCAATTTCCTTCCCAACAGGTGGGCGGGGTTTGCGACACTGAGCGGGCTTACCTGCTTGGTTGCCTCCCACCTGCTTTAGGGTGGCCTCATCCTGCCCCCGGCCTGGGAGGACAATGGATGTATGGCTGGGGGTGGGGTGAGGGCTAAGGGAAAAGAGGCTGACCCCTTTGGCCAAACCTCACTCTGTTTCCTCCTCTTCCAGGTTCAGGATGTGTTCATGTGAGCAGCCAGGTTGAGGTAAGTAATTTTGGTTTCTTTTGTTGGCTGGGCGCTTCGCCAGGCCCAAGAGGGCGGTGTGTGCCCCAGCTACAGGCTGTTTACCAGCATTTTTGTTGTTTTCAGCAGCGGTGGCACTTGGGAGGGAGCGCAAGGCCCCTCCGTTGCCGCCGTTCACCGTGGAGCGCTTTGCCGGGCCCGAGAAGGCAGCGTGCCGCATGGTGGCCTTTTGTTTTTGGTGATGGCGGCGCTGGGGAGGGGACACATGGCCCATTAAAGGGTTGATTGCAGGAGTCCCTGGCCCTAGAGCAGCGGCATGTAGGTCAAACTCCCGGCCAAGGTAAAGTGGGAGGGCAAGCTGTGTAAATTCGTGCTTTACAGTCCCCTCTTACTGCACCTCATTGCCCTGCACATCCTCAATCCCAGTCAGGCTGAGAGGGTTACATGCCAAGGCCAAGGCCAAGTTTCCCACATTCTTAAGTTGAATCAAGTTGTGGCCAATTTGAACCCATACTTTGGTCTCTCGTCTCATTCTTTTGGGGGAGGGTAGGCTCCACGGACAGGGCTCAGCGCGTGTGCTCGCAGACCTTGCAGCCCCGCTATGCATTTAAGATACATGTTTGTTGTCGTTAAATTCTTCAATTCGCCTTCCCTGACCATTAAAATTAGCAAAGAAAAGAAATATGCAAATCATAAACCGGGGAGGCAACAACAAAAAAAGTACTTCCCAACTTTACATCTTACTGACTGAGCATCTTTTAATGTTTGCATCTGATTGTATCATGTATCTGTTTTTCATTCTTCCCCATATGCAGTTCCGTTCCTTGCTTTATTCAATGATTTTGGGCCATTCCACGGTGACAGCTCTTGTTTTGTTTTATGCAGTCCTATTAGAGAACGCTCGCTTGCTGTTGTTATGCGTCAATTAGTAGGCACGCCACCCAAGGAAGAACAGTCTCAAACGAGAGGCTTCATCAAGAGGCGTCCCCAGTGAACCCTTTCGCAGCAAGTGAAGATATTTCCTGAGGTCTGATGGCTCAATTCACAATTGTGTGTGTGTGTTTTAAAATAAAGACTGTGGCAATTATCTATGCAACCCTGTGCATGTTTACTTGAAAGTAAGTCCCACTGTGTTCAATGGGGCAAACTTCCAGGTACGTAGGCAAAGGACTGCAGCCAGCAAATCTGGTTTCGTTGCTATACAGTTTACAGAGAATGAACTTTACATCTACACCAAACGTTTAAGCCATCAAGTCTGCTTAACAAGAGGCTGGAATCATGACACTATACAGGCAGCACACTCTGCTGTGAGCTCTGGGTTTAATATTAAACAGCAAAGCAAATGCTAATGGGTCTACTTTGCTTCTGCCTAGCTGCTGTTGCCATCACCTCCTTCTCTTCCAAGCTGGGAAACCAAACACCCAACTGCCTCCTTACAACTAGGAGGCAAAGGTGGTAGCACTAACATCCAGGTAGATGGGCAAATCCTTCACTGGGTCGCTAAAGGCACTTGTTTATAGTGTTATGAGGTGTGTGTGGGGAGATGTAGGCTGTATGCCTGAGACCCCTTCTAATTCCTGGATCCAGATGGGATTTAATTCCTGGAATAATCAGGCAAGCTTCCTGGTGAGGTAATGGCCCTCTAAGTAGGGGCCATTAAGGTAACAAAGGAAGTGTCTCTGTGCCAGATAACAAAAGGGTGGGGCCCCTTCCTCAACTTTCTGGTAGTTAAAATAAATTTTAAAAAAATTAAAAAATTGTTTAGTAGCACCTTAGAGACCAACTAAGTTTGTTCTGAGTATAAGCTTTCGTGTGCATGGTAAACCTGTTTGCAGATAATGAGACATATGCTAAAGCTATTTTTGGTCATCTGCATACTATCACTTGCTTTTTCCTGCAGGACTAATTGCAGCTGCTGTTGTTGTTCTTTAGTCATTTAGCCGTGTCCGACTCTTCGTGACCCCATGGACCAGAGCACACCAGGCCCTCCTGCCTTCCACTGCCTCCCGCAGTTTGGTCAAACTCATGCTGGTAGCTTCGAGAACACTGTCCAACCATCTCGTCCTCTGTCGTCCCCTTCTCCTTGTGCCCTCCATCTTTCCCAACATCAGGGTCTTTTCCAGGGAGTCTTCTCTTCTCATGAGGTGGCCAAAGTATTGGAGCCTCAGCTTCAGGATCTGTCCTTCCAGTGAGCACTCAGGGCTGATTTCCTTAAGAATGGATAGGTTTGATCCATCCATTGCAGTCGTTAACAGTCGTAAGCAGGTTTACCATACCCATTGAGTCAATCACCCATCTCCTACTACCCTTCAGAGAAAAACCCCACCCCACCCTCCCACTATATATAAGGGTCTGGTAACTTCTGTTTCAGTGTATCTGAAGAAGCGTGCATTCACACGAAAGCTTATACCCAGAACAAACTTAGTTGGTCTCTAAGGTGCTACTTATTTTATTTATTTATTATTTATTTATGCCGACTGCGTCAGACCAACACGGCTACCTCCCTGAATCTAGAATTTCTGGTAGTTAGAAGGGCAAAGGACAGAGCTGAGAACTATGTTAGCTAGAAGCTGGCAGCTAGCAACTGGCCGGCTGCAGGCTGAGCAACTGGGAGACAGAACCACTGGGGAGTTTTAAATCCTCACTCAGTCATGAAGTCAATAGGGCCAGTCATCTCTCTGCCTAGATACCACAGAGTTACTGTGACAATAAAAATGGAGGGATCACATGTATGGCTTTGAGTCCCTTAGAGGGAAAGTGGGGTATACATTTAATAAATCAAATGCATTTATTTATTTAACCATTTATTAATTTAGCCTATACCTAACACACTTTTCAGTCTTAGAAAAGACTCTCAGGGTAGCTTCTACGTTAAAACAAAAATGTGTGTGTTTTTTGGAGGAGGGGAGCCATTTTCAAAGTTACCAAAATAAAACAGATGTGCAGAGTGAATCTTTCGTGTGTGTCTACTCAGAAATTATTCCAGTGGAGCACAGAACTTCAAAACAGAAAGCAGCCCGAAGCCAGATACAAATAACAGAAATAATAAAAACCGAATCTCATAGTAGCAGTAAAAGCAAACATCGCAATCCCACTGAAAGCACAGGAAGCAGGACACGTTTCACCTGGCGCTTAAAACTTTGCAAGGTTGGTGCCAGGTGAACAGCACCAGGGGGAGGCTTCCATGCGTGCATAAGAAGAGACTGCTGGATCGGGCCAATGAAGAATCGAGTCCAGCATCTTGTTCTTGCAATGGCCTGTGGGAAACCATCAGACAGGACCTGAGGTGGGGTTCCAATGCAGCAAAACCCTGAATCCCACCACCTTCTTCACTTCCAAAGGTAGGGCAATCAGTGGTATCGTAAATTTTGAAGTGCAAGAGCTCATCTCGACAGCCTTCATAGCCACGTCCACCACGAGAATCCAGACATTGATCCACTTATACATTGACCCACAATACACAGGAGCAGGGACGCAGCAAAGAGCAAGGCTGTAATCCTATGCAGAGTTTTTCTGGGAACAAACTACTGAACTCAGTGCTGGCTGCTTAGGTTCAACTTGTGAAACACACAGAGTTTCAACAAATACTATATATTCCCTCCGCCGAAATGCAAATCTTTAGCTTCTCCTTAGAAATGCAAATCACGATGCAAGGAAGTGTTACTACCATTTGAACTACATGTGTGAAATGGGAAGGCCATCAAAGAAAAGAGGTTTCCAGCCTCCACTTATTTCCCCTCATTCTTGGGGACTTCACACTGCAATAATCTCATGCAAACAAGCTACGAAGCCCTGTTTAGGGAAGTTTTTAATGTTTGATGTTTTATCATTTTTCTAATATTCTGTTGGGAGCTGCCCATAGTGGCTGGGGAAACCCAGGCAGATGGGCGGGTTTAATTAATATTTTTATTTTTATTATTACTACTACTACTACTACTACTACTACTTGTCAGAGGAAGAAAAGTCTGCATTGCAGAGGGTTGAATTCTATTATACTATTAATTTCTCTGGTGTTCTGAAAAAAGACCAGTAATTTTGCACACACACACACCCAGTCTTTTCCCTTCACTGTACCAATGGGAAGCACCTCTGAGGTAGATCTGTACAGTTTAGCAGGGGAACAGGGGAACTTTTAAATATCCTCACGCTGTCAATGTTACAAGAAAGTAGAGTGAGTTCTCCCTGGAGTGTGGTTCTGCAACAGCTCCAGACAGACTGTAATAACCTTGAGAAAACCCTCATTTAACCCCCCCTAGGTGAGTTGGCAATTGGATATTCGCACATGTGCTCTAGCTACTTGCTCTCCATTGAACAAATTATCAGATATGTATATGGTGGGGTCTTTTTTTGGCGGGGGACACTTCTATTCTAAAGTCTTATATGAATATAGTCATGGAAGTAGGACTCCTCTCACATCCTCACTAGAGAATTACATCATGATAACTGAAGTAATTTGGAAAGATTTCCAGGGGGGAAAGGATGTGTGTAGGTAGTATAATGAGATCAAAAAGCGAAGATAAGACAGTGAAGCTAATGTGAAATGCCACTCTGATCAGAAATTACAAGGCTATCAAAAGCTTTTGACTACGCACAGTAACCTTTACGTCATTATCACCCACTGCTCAGTCCAACGCCAGTAAGGCTGCCTTTAAGATGCTGAAGATGCAGGTGATTCTGTTTTGAGAATACATCACAACTGATTTAGCATGCAGACCCGTGCCTCCAAATTGTGGGTCCAACTCAATTTAGTCTAACAAGGAGATGATGCAGTTTAAATGACCAAAAGGATTGTGCAGACTTTTGTTCACTCATCATACTTACCCCTGCCCTCTCAGATGCTGTTCGACTACAACTCCCATCATCCCTGAACGCTGGCAGCGCAAGCTGATGAGAATTTGGACCCGCAGCATAGGGGGAACCATGTTTGCTGTAGCTCATCCTGCAGAGTCCTCTTTACTAACCAGGAACCCATATTAAAAGTCCAAGCAAGAATGACATAGCTGAAGCGAGAAAGACTCCACTGGACACACATTTTTCACTTGTGTGCTACCTTCCATTTTAGATCTACAGTGGTACCTCTGGTTACGAACTTACCGGTAATTCGTTCCGGAGGTCCATTCTTAACCTGAAACTGTTCTTAACCTGAGGTACCACTTTAGCTAATGGGGCCTCTCGCAATTTCTGTTCTCATCCTGAGGTAAAGTTCTTAACCTGAGGTACTACTTCAGGGGTAGCGGAGTCTGTAACCTGAAGTGTTTGTAACCCGAGGTGTTTGTAACCCGAGGTACCACTGTAATTGAAATGCAGGCCTGAATTTAAAGATTCAAGACTTCCCTGACACCCCATGAACTTTGGGCCTGAAATCCAGTGTTGGTCCAGCCTCCATCCCCTCAGCTTGATTTAGGAGGGACCCACCTCAATAAGTTAATTCCCACTTTGGATCTGAACCACAACAACTCATGTGAACTTCGCTCTATTCCAAGCAGAGACCTATCGTGTTCCCAAACATGGCAGAAACCCTCCCTGCTACCTGCTTATTTCCAAACGCAGAACTCGCCAAAGGATGATGAGATGGCTTCTCAACAACCTCCCTGTGGCCTGGATTGTCACACAAAAGGATTCGACACACAATGAAACAGAGAGGCATCGGAAACGCAGCCCCCATGTTGCTTGATTTAACTTCTGGAAATGATATTGTCCCTACCTCCTTATTTCAGTGAGCATTGTCAAGAAGCAATAGCAGACCTTGTGGAGAGGTAGGTGGAGCCCTGCTGCTCTCTCAGCTTCTGAACACAGCATGTGACGGGCAATTGCCAGAAGGAGAAAGAGGCACAGGAAGAACATCGGTGCCCCATCTATGCTGCTCCATGGGGCGCTGTCAATGACAGTTGTGAGAGTCAAGGCCTCTCTGCACGGCTGTTCCCGCTGACTTAGTAAGGTAGGGTCTTGAGAAAGGGGATGGGCAAGGAAGGCCAGAGAAGACTCGAGCCCATTCCAAATGGGACCTGAACCACGATGGTGTCAGATTTGAAATAATTGTGGTGGAAGTGCAAAACATGTCACTCAAAGCCGCCACTACTCCTTGATATCTGGCACCCTAACAAGTTAAGACTATAATCCACACTTGTTATTTCTGTCTGAGCAACAGTTCCCAGACAGAAGATTAATGGTGGATACTGGACGTGCAAAATGAATATTTTATGGTATAAAGATGTAAACTGCGCTGCAAGAGTCGGAACTCCGGTGAAACATCTCCCCACAAAAGAGATAATGTGTTGATAAATCAATTACAAATGCCATTATTACGCTTTGGAACAGGGGTAGGATATGTGGTGGGGAGGTTTTCAGGCCAAGGGCCGCTTCTCCTCATAACCAACCTTTCTAGGAAGGGCGGGAGGGCAGATGAAAAAGCAGACAGAGTAACAGACATGGCTCTTGTTTCTCAGCAGCGGACCGCATTCCAGTCGTGCAAAGTTTCACCTCCCTGTAGCTTTCCACACACAAATTCACCCATGCAGGCAAGCAAGAGGGAGTTCAAGGACACACGGCTACGAGGGCAAAAGCACTTGGGGATGGTGTAGAAAAGGACAAGTGAGGGGAATGGCCTGGGGTGATTTTTTAGGGCGAGACAGAGAAGCCTGGAAGGCCAAATTCGGCCCCTAGGCCCAAGTTCACCACTCCCTGCCATAAGTATATTTTGCATATCAAGAAAAAAAACAAAATATGTAGGAATAAAAATATTATGCAGGCAACCATACTATGCCACACTGATGCACTCTGCATTCAAATTCATTTAAACGACAAAACATATTTTAAAGCATTAGCCATTAAATGAAAATAAACTGCAAGAACTACACAGATTCATTTTCATTCCACTATGCCACTATTTCAGAAGTGATGCAGTTGGGCCACAGTTAACATTTTTTTATAAGAACGGAGCACAAGATATCAAAAGAGAGAAAAGCAGAATGAGGATTTGCTTGGGAAAGCTTTCCCAAGAGTTTCAAATTTTTACATAGGAAATCAATTTGCATCACCGATAATATTGTTCAAATCAGATGACACTGTGTGGTTAGGAGGTAATTTACTTTGCTGCCGAAGCAATTTGATAGTTGTTCTGATTTGTGATTTTCATTTTGTTTGTTAATGAAAAAAATTAATGAGCAATGTTACTGGAAGTAGAACTCGAAGCCGCAGCATTATTAAACATGTTTTCAATATATTGTACATTATGTTGATTGCACCGCCAGAGTCTGAACTTTTGCAGCGCAAACACCAGTCAATCAATCTGATGTGGAATTTGTAGGGAGGACTTTTGGCACTTACCTTTGCACTGATTTGTGTTTTTGTCTAGAATTGCTTTTGTGGATACAATTTTTCCATACCTGAAAAACAAAATAGAGAAATAGGGATGTTCATTTTATTGTTGTTTAAAACCTGATCCAGTTGTCAAGCATACTTAAAAGAAAAGGAGACTTAAGTGCTCCTGAAAAGTGCAGCACAAACAATATTGTATGGTAATGTCCTGCATGCTGTATTTGCATTTCTCACCTGACCTTCAAAAGCTACCCTTACAAAGGTGGTTAATTTTCTATGCTTGCACTTTGATAATCAACAAAGAGACCAATTACAGTGGTGCCCCGCAAGACGAACGCCTCGCAAGACGAAAAACCCGCTAGACGAAAGGGTTTTCCGTTTTGGAGGCGCTTCGCAAAACGAATTTCCCTATGGGCTTGCTTCGCAAGACGAAAGCCCATAGGGAAATCTCCGGTCCGCGAAGCCTGGGCGCGCTGATCTCAGCGCGCGCAGGCTCGGCATGCCGGCAACTCTCCGCGAGCAGCGGCAGCGCTGCCGCTGCTCGCGGAGAGGTCCGCGAAGCCTGGGCGCGCTGATCTCAGCGCGCGCAGGCTTCGGCATGCCGGCAACTCTCCGCGAGCAGCGGCAGCGCTGCCGCTGCTCGCGGAGAGGTCCGCGGAGCCTGGGCGCGCTGATCTCAGCGCGCGCAGGCTTCGGCATGCCGGCAACTCTCCGCGAGCAGCGGCAGCGCTGCCGCTGCTCGCGGAGAGGTCCGCGGAGCCTGGGCGCGCTGATCTCAGCGCGCCCAGGCTTCGGCATGCCGGCAACTCTCCGCGAGCAGCGGCAGCGCTGCCGCTGCTCGCGGAGAGGTCCGCGGAGCCTGGGCGCGCTGATCTCAGCGCGCGCAGGCTTCGGCATGCCGGCAACTCTCCGCGAGCAGCGGCAGCGCTGCCGCTGCTCGCGGAGAGGTCCGCGAAGCCTGGGCGCGCTGATCTCAGCGCGCCCAGGCTTCGGCATGCCGGCAACTCTCCGCGAGCAGCGGCAGCGCTGCCGCTGCTCGCGGAGAGGTCCGCGAGCCTGGGCGCGCTGATCTCAGCGCGCGCAGGCTTCGGCATGCCGGCAACTCTCCGCAAGCAGCGGCAGTGCTGCCGCTGCTTGCGGAGAGGTCCGCGAAGCCTTGGCTGGACAGCTTTTGAAGGCAGGTGGGGGGACAAAGACTTTCGCCCCCGCCAACCTTCAGAAGAGGTCCTGGACCTCATCTGAAGGTTGGCGGGGGCAAAAGTCTTTGTCCCCCTGCCTGCCTTCCCAGGGGCTTTAAATTGCCCCGGACAGCGGAGAAGTCCTCCGCTGTCCCGGGGCAATTTTAAAATGCCGCCCGCCAGCATTTTAAGATCGCCTCGGACAGCGGAGAAGCTCTCCGCTGTCCCGGGGTTTTAAAATGCTGGGGTGGGAAGAAAAGCCCTTGTCCCCCCAGCCTTCAGAAGAGGTCGGGGGACAGACTGTCCCCGGACCTGGTCTGAAGTCGGTCTCCCTAGGAACGCATTAATTGATTTTCAATGCATTCCTATGGGAAACCGTGCATCGCAAGACGAAAAACTCGCAAGAAGAAAAAACTTGCGGAACGAATTAATTTCGTCTTGCGAGGCACCACTGTACAGTGGCAGATTTGGGGTATGTCAAGGCAAACAAAGATTTTTTTTCCTGAGTGTTGATTAGATCAGGCTAAACCTGTGTTTTCTCCCTTGGTTAAATGAGATGAATGGGTGATTTTCCAAGACACAGAATGGACCACTCTCTGAAATTGGCAATGCCAGAGTGGAACATATGGGAGACTTTCAGCAGCCAGCCCAAGGGGATGCCTGTTTTCAGAACACACCGCATTGATTTGTGTGCAATTGCGCATGGAAGGATTTTTAGATTTTTGGGGTGGAAATGGTGACTAAGGGAAGAGAACATTATGGAGGTTTGTAAAATTATGACTGGTGTGAATGGAGGGAATTTTTTTCTCCCTCTCAAAATATGAGAACTTGGAAGGTCGCCAGATTGCATTTATTTATTGACTTAGCACCATGCCATTGCCACAAAAGCTGTGCTAAGAAAGGTACAATCAAAATCACCACTGAAACAAAATTAAAAGCTATTTCTAAAAATCAATAGTCTAAAAATGCACTTAAAACCAAATAACTGCATACCATAAAATTAAATCAAGAAACCTTCAGCCAATACTAAATGCCTGCCCAGTTTTTAAATAGACACTGAAACACCAAGAGAGAAGTGGCCGGACACAATTCTGATAGAAGTAAAAGCTGGAATTCCACAAAAAGGGCTTATATTTCTTCTTCTTCTGGAAGAGGCTGTCTGGGGCTGATGGGAGTTGGAGTCCAGCAACATCTGGGAGGGACCACATTGGCCACCCCTGCCCCAAACCATGTAGCAACTCAAAGGTCATTGTCAGCACTCTGAATTGTGTCTGGAAGCCAGTAGGGAGCCAGAATAAGTCCTGTCCTGGTCAAAAGGCAAGTTGCAGGATTCTGCATCAGCAAAACCTTCCAAAGCATAATGATGCCCAATCTTTGTTCTGTGTGTGAAAGCTCTTCATACAATGTATATGGTAATGTACTTATAGAATGTGGCCGTTAGCTTAATCTTCAGTGGCATCTCGCCGGAAGCAGCAGCAGCAGCAGCAGCTGTGCGGCCCTGGAAGTGGCTGGTAGTAGGGTACCAGCAAAGGCAATGCATTGTGGGATTTCACCACCCAAGATGGCTGCTTCAGTCCTTCTCATGGGCAAGGCTGACCCTGCCCTCAGGGCTACCCAGGGCACAGGTTAGGAGAGACATTGGCCAGCAGGTGGGCTTCCCAAAAATAGGATCCTTGCTCTGTCCTGTGCAAAATCCTGATATTCTACAACCAATAAAGTTGTGGTCATGTTTAACCTACACATACCCCATCCTGTTCGTTGCTCCAGGTCAACAGGCCTTACATACCTGGTGCCCAAGGAAGTATTCATAGCAGTACTTATTGTCCATAGCAATAAAACACTTAAATGTCAATGCAATGGTGTATCCGAATTAATTGGACATACCATACTTTTCGCCCCACAAGGTGCACCTGACCATAAGACGCACCTAGTTTTTAGAGGAGGAAAACAGGGGGGGGGGGGAATATTCTGAATCAAATGTTGTAGGAGAGGAGTTTTAAGTGGGGAGGGAAGGAAAACCCTGGAGGGGCAAGCGGCATGTGTGGGGTGTGTAGAGAAGGAGGTGGCTAACAATGCAGGAGAGGGATTTAAGGGGAGGGAGGAAAGTGTAGGGAGTGGGCAGTGGGGTCCGGAGGGAGCACACTCCCCACCAGCAGGCAGTCAAAGTCTGCCTGCACGCGTGACCCTGGGGTGTGGGGCACATGCCCCCCCCCGACAAGCCACAGCTGTCTGAACATCGTTCCCTCTGTCTAACCTTTTGCGGTCTCAGTAGTCTGCGGTGTCCTGTCTGTAACCTTTGTCCCTGAGACCTTTTGTCTCCTTCGTCATACACTGTGCAAGGGGAAATGACACAGTGGAAACAGGTGCCAAAATAACTTTGTACCATCCCACGATCTCGGGACCGAAGATGTGTAAAGGTCACAGCCCAAAATGGTTTGCATGTTTGTCTCAATAAAAGGAGGCTCCACAGGGCTAGCCGGCAGCTTGCATGCAGCTCACCTGTGCGCAGCTCACCTGATGATCAACCCCCAGTCTTGTGCCTTCACTTCAGAAAGGAAGGCAAAAGTTCTCCCCACCACCACCACCCAAGCCAGCTCTCTCTCTCTCTCTTTCTCCCACCTGCATGTTTTCCGGCTGCCTATGCGTCCCTGGCATGCTTTCCTGGACGCTGCAGCAGCACTGGAGCATGGAGAGGAGGAGGAGGCGGCGGCAGCGGCAGCTGTCGGTTGCGCTCCTAGCCGCCGGAAATTGATCTGCGTGGGCTGGAGCCTGTGTACAGTGCAGCTAGGAAGGAATTAGCAGGAAGGACACGATCCCTTCCCCTCTGCTTGACATGAAGGCAGGGGATTTCCCTGCTCTTTGCTGCGTTTGATTGCCACCAGTCTCCTTGCTCAGCACGTCTGCTTGCTGCGAGGTGACGCTGCCGCGGCCGGCGCTGAGCAACGGAAGGGGAAAGGATTGTGTCCCGCTGCTCATTCCTTCCTAGCCGCATCACCTCGCAGCAAGCAGATGCGCTGAACAAGGGGAACGGGCCACCACTGGCCCGATCCGAGTAAACACAGCAACCGAAAACACAAGAGGGTGGGCAGTAAGACCCTGAGGCAGAGGGCAGGAAAGGAATTGACTGCAGCTGTGCGCTCCCTGCCAGAAAGGGACAAGAACAAAAGGAGGGGAGCAGAGGCTGACTTTAACCGCCCAGTTAAAACTGTACGCGGCAAGGAACTCAAAACAAAATAGGAGTTGCAATTGAATCTTTAGGAAGGCGCTACAATAATTAGGCATGGTGAACAGACGGTAGCCTTGGGGTGCCGTACAGCGATAGAGAGGCTCCACACACAAGGACACTCAAACGCCCAAATGCCCCCTTTAAGCACACGTTCTCCTGTGCAGCAACATGACTCACATGCCTCTACACACAGAGCAAAATATGCCCGATACAGGAACCCCAGAAACCTCCTCTCTACAGCCTTCTCTCCTCCGTGACGCACGATCCAATTTTTGCCCCTGCACTCGGGTGATTCGGCTACAGGGACCACACATTCGCTCCATAAGACGCACAGACATTTCCCCTTACTTTTTAGGAGGAAAAAAATGTGTCTTCTGGAGCGAAAAATACGACAAGTTTTTCCTAAATAGAAGTTAATAATTAATTGCAGTGTCCAAGACCCCAAGTTCTGATAATTGGTCATAAATGGAACAATAACATCTGATAACCAATTTTTCTTGCTTAGATGTCTGGCGCTGTAATTTGTCTTTGGGGATATGGCTCTTCTCATCATTGCAAGCAATGCAATTTTAATTCTTGTCACGCAGAGATACCAAAAGGGCATTACACAATGGGAATCTACATGCAGATAGCATGGAATGGCATAATGCATAACAGAGCTGGCCTGCTAATTTTGAATACTAACCATGGTTTGTTTGTTTGTTTGTTCTTTTTTAAAAAAAACACCTCTAAAACTAACAATATTTAACTCTGTATTCTCGTATCACCGTGTTTGTGTGTGCACATGTGCAGATTTTCAGTTTGAAATTTCACAGACTTCTAGTCAAGTCCATAAACCTCAATAGGTCTGTTCTGAGTAGGAGTAGAGTTGAATGTCAGCCTCTCTCCCTTGACCTTCATTCACTGTCACTGACAGGAAGCTCCTGCAGCCAATCGGAAGCCGCAGAAGCCCCGTCGGATGTTCAGCTTCCAAAAGAACGTTTGAAAACCAGAGCATTCAATTCCGGGTTTCGATCGTTCAGGAGCCAAAACGTTCAAGAACTAAGCTGTTCGAAAACCAAGGTATTTAGAAGTTGTCAAGGCCAATGGCTAGCACAATAAATTTGCTGCTGATATTTTAAGAATTCTTGATTTCTAAGTTGTTAAAATTTAAGATTTTGCATGGTTTATTGTATTATATTATACAAGCAACCCCCCAATTGCATGGGAGTTGCGTTCCAGGTCATCACATGCAACAGTTGAGTGTATATAAGCGCATTATGCCTTGTCCTCATCATGCCCACACCCCTGCCCTGATCTGGCCACTTCTGAGTCACTATGATACACATGTGCGCAGTCATGCATCAACTGAACACACGTAAATGTTGCCTGTACTTTGCTTCCATAATCTATTGGCAATTCACAAGACTCTTTTGTCCAGAAAATATTGTTGCTAAAATATGCACCAAGACGAAGGAGTTGCATTATCTTAAATAATTATCTACAATAATTATAAAAACCAATCCATCCTTGCCCTGATATTTCACATTAAAAGTTAATATATGGAACAAGGCTTACTGAAGCAATATTCCTCAGCCAGCAAAGTTTGATTGATGTCTTGTTCAGAAATGTCATGGGGGAACGTGGTTGTTGTTTTTTAATCTGGTTATGCTACTGATACAGGAGTAATTAGATTTCCAAGGCCTCCAACAAGTTAAGCAATTTGGAAGTAAAAATAAAAGGCAAATGCCTTGGCAAATAAGCACAGAAATATGTACTGGTTACATGTGAAAGGAGAATAATATGCTGCAATAATTACCAGTAAGAAGATTGCAATATAATCTTGTTATAATAGGAAGCAAGGCGACAACATACACAATTCCACCCTACCCCCCTTTAAATAGCTGGGTGAATGATTCTGTGCTCAAACCATGATTTGGGATGCACACATAGAATATTCACAGAAGATCTGTTTTAAGATAATTATTGGTAATTAGAAAATATGAGGTTTCTCTCATTAAATTCAAGACTGCTTGGGAGCAAGCACTTGGAGATTACTGCTAAAGTTTTATTTCCCACCTTATCATAAAGACTTAGACAGCAGATGGAAGAGAAGATCATAGGGTCTGCATTTTAAAGCAAGCAAACCTATTCTGCTTTCTTGGACCATGGATCAGAACACTGTTGTCAATCTGATCCCATACGTCTCTGAATTTTGTGAGCCAGTTTGGTTTCAGATAAGTATGCACAAAAAATTGTATTTTAGGGAAACTGTATTGGAAAGCATACAAAAAAGTGTTATAGAAGTAGTACCAGTGAAGGCAGTTTGTACACACTTTATAATTTAGATTAAGTTTTTTCACATCTTTTAAAGTCATTAAAGGGTCTAGACCTTAAACTGCCTGTATGCAGGACTGACATGAAACAGAAATGGGCTAATCTGCCCTTTCCTAGTCAGACCAGACTAAGGTGCACCCCTATTTCCCATTATTTTAACGTCATGCAATATTGCTTTTGCAAGAGTTAGTATGCATAATTCTCTCAGGATTCAACATACTAAGTTCCTACTGAGATCAATGGGAACCAAATGCTTAACTCTGTTTCTAAATTTCATTGACTTCCCAGAATTATTTCCAGTTACTATGCCAATGCCAAGTGGATTTCATGACTGTGTGGCGATTTAACTTGATCAGTAATTTAACCTGCCGTCTCCTGTGTCCTTTCACTAGATATTCCTAAAGCCTAGTTCTACAAACTAGTTAACTAGAGAATTATTCCAAATGGCTCGGGTACTTGGGACAAAGGTGAAACACACTGTCTTAAATTCACTTACTCTACTCCTTTGCAGGTATAGTCATGGCTTCTTTTCATCTGGAACTCACTGGAACAGAGTTCCACCACCTCTTTGCAGCATACTGGTAACTGTATAGCGGCACAACGCCCAGAACTCAACAACTTTGCCCCCCCCCCCCGCTCACCAATTTAGGGTTGTCTGTCAAAAAAAGAGTGGGAATTCCTGCACCTCTTTTTCTAGAAAAAAAAGTGTTGGATATAGCTGCCTGTCACTTTGGTGATTTGATGCAGTACTCGCAGTCATTAACCAAGGCTATAATCCTGCACTCAGTTCAGCTGCTTAAATCTCACCCACTTCAATTAGCTTCAACCAATCTAAATGGGTCCCACGTTGCAGCTTAAGACAATATTCAAGAGAGAATGTGTTTCAAAATGGAAATAATGGGGAAAGTAACTCCAGAATTTCTCCCAAAATATGCCTGCCAGCTGTCAGATCTCCACTGAAATATGTTGTTTGTTTTATTGTATTTTTAAGGTTTAGATATTGGTCTTTGTCAAAATAGGGTAGAACTTAAACAAAGGGGCAATATCCAACGCAACACATCTGCTAACACAAGGACTTGCGGGTGTGCAAAGGAAATTCCCTCCCCTCTCTGTGTGCAACCCCTAAATCTGTTCCCCTACCCTAATCCTCTGGAACAGGTTTATGGGGCACACACACAGGGAAGGGAAGAGGATAGAGAAATTCCACTGCACATCTGAAAGTCCCTGAGCTAGTGGAACTGGTTAGTTGGACATCTCTCAATATGATATAAATACTAAACGTATTTCCATCTGCAGTGTTGGATGGCAGGTTGAGAGGAGTTCCCTACCAAGACAGACTTTGCTCGTGTGCTCAAGACATCGATTCCATAAAACATATTTTGTTGCACTGTGCAAAATATGAGCAAGCCAGGGCTGAACTGATATTACCCTTGCTGGTACCTTTCCCGGGAAAATCAGAGGCTCACTGTGTCAGGTTCCTATTGGAAGACTGGACATATGCTAGAACCTTAGCAGTGGCAAAGTTTTTATCGGTGGTTGCAAGAACCAATGATCCCTATATTCGGAACGAAATGCTTGTTTAACCTTGAGGTAACCTGGGATGTGGTGAGGCTGTGCCTGCCGCTCCAATGCTAGGGTAATAATAATTTATAATAATAATTTCTTATTTATACCCCACCCATCTGGTTGGGCTTTCCCAGCCACTCTGGGCAGCTTCCAACAAAATATTAAAATACAATAATGCATCAAACATTAAAAGCTTCCCTACACAGGGCTGCCTTCAGATGTCTTCTAAAAGTCTGGTAGTTGGTTTTCTCTTTGACATCTGGTGGGAGGGGATTCCACAGGGCGGGTGCTGCTACCGAGCAGGCCCTCTGCCTGGTTCCCTGTAACTTGGCTTCTCGCAGTGAGGGAACCACCAGAAGGCCCTCAGCGCTGGACCTCAACGTCCGGGCAGAATGATGGGGGTGGAGACGGTCCTTCATGTATCCTGGACCGAGGCCGTTTAGGGCTTTAAAGGTCAGCACCAACACTTTGAATTGTGCTCAGAAATGTACTCCCAGTCACCAGTCTAGCTGCCGCATTCTGGATTAGTTGTTTTTTCCGGGTCACCTTCAAAGGTAGCCCCACATAGAGCGCATTGCAGTAGTCCAAGCGGGAGATAACCAGAGCATGCACCACTCTGGCAAGACAGGCTGGGGGCAAATAGGGTCTCAGCCTGCGTACCAGATGGAGCTGGTAGACAGCTGCCCTGGACACAGAATTGACCTGCGCCTCCATGGACAGCTGCGAGTCCAAAATGACTCCCAGGCTGTGTACCTAGTCCTTCAGGGACACAGTTACCCCATTCAAGACCAGGGAGTCCCACACACCTGCCTGCCTCCGTCCCCCCAAAACAGTACTTCTGTCTTGTCAGGATTCAACCTCAATCTGTTAGCCACCATCCATCCTCCATCCATTCCTTTAAAAGAATCTAGGGGCTTTCCTTGCTTTTGTCCGATCCCCTTCCAGGGGTTAGGGCCACGCCAGAGCCCCTGGGAGCATTTGGGGCGAGTTGAGTCTGAACCTGGTCCAGTGCTCCCCCAGGATGTTTTCCCGGAGTCCAGGCGTCAATGCTGCCCTGCTCAGCTCAGGTGCAACTAGTCGTGAACCAATGCCTAAGCAAACCACTCACAATCTGTAATCAATAAAGTTGTGGCCAAAATTATGCCAATAACCTTAAACTAAATTCCGTGTCAATTGTGTCTTTATTTATTGGGGGAGGTCTTGGGATCTTAACACGCAATAAGCCAAACATGGTAACATAACTGTACATAATTCATAATGAGCAAGGCATACCAGGCAGCATATAAAATCATACACAATGTAATAAACGCCACAACTCAGCCCCTGCAAAATTGCTCATAATGGAAGTGAATGTCTCAGGTGCAACTATAAAACACAACGAAGTAGTCTTCTGAAAAATAAGGAAGAAATCAGTAGTGGAACACTTCTCAGTGTACAAAACTAGCCGTTAATCCCATCCACCCCCTTACCCAAAGAAAATGGCAAACCCTTCCAACTCTCAACTTGGGAACTAGCTTTTCCTTTCTCTCTCACCCTGTGAAATGTCCGCCTCTCGCCTAAGATTGTCCCACCATCTATCTGCCACTGTCCATCACCTGCTATAATGACAATCGCTTTGTAAAACATAAAAGCTTTAGAAATTTGTAGATGAATAGGTGCCCCATATGTGCCCACTCAGTTGGCAGAATTGGCACTTGGGCAGGTGCCACATAAATACCCACACCACGTCTGTAAGAACTCAGTCGTTTAGTGTGGCAGCAACGAAACTTTGGAACTCCTCGCCTCTTGATATCACTGTATTCTTTTTGTCGCCTGCGAAACATATTCTTATTTAGACAAGCTTAGCAAGGTCTTTAGAAATATATATGAGTTTTTATTTGTTTTAGCCTGTTCTACTGCGATTTTAACCTTCTGTAAGTTTTAAACTGGAGTTGTAAATTTTTTAAGCAACAAATTTATTGTTTTTGTAAGCTTTGATTCTTTGATTATCAAGCAGTATATAAATTTTAGGAGCTAAATACCGGTAAATAAATATTAAAAAGTGGCTTTGCATTTCAAATCCCTATTTTTCTACTTACATGTTTTTCATTATTTTTATGTCCCTTAAAAAAAAAAATCACCAAAACTCCAAAATGTGATTGCAACAACTTTTTTTTTTTAAATAAAAGGCTTATAAACCCACCTTTTCACAATGAGCTCAAGATGACTATACCATTGCATAACTTGGGCTATAATCCAGTGCCTATCTACCTAGAAATAAATTCCATTGAAAGCCATTAGAATTACAGAATCATAGAATCATTGTTTAGTTGGAAGGGACCCCAAGGGTCATGCAGGAATTTTTTACCCATAGTGGGGCTAAAACCCACAACCCTGAGAATAAGAGTCTCATGGTCTACCGACTGAGCTATTAGATTTACTTCTGAGGAGACATGTAAGGTGGGACGCTGGTGGCGCTGTGGATTAAACCACAGAGCCTAGGACTTGCTAATCAGAAGGTTGGCAGTTCGAATCCCCATGATGGGGTGAGCTCCCGTTGCTCGGTCCCTGCTCCTGCCAACCTAGCAGTCTGAAAGCATGCCAGTGCAAGTAGATAAATAGGTACCGCTCTGGCGGGAAGGTAAACAGCGTTTCCGTGCGCTGCTCTGGTTCGCCAGAAGCGGCTTAGTCATGCTGGCCACATGACCCGGAAGCTATGTGCCGACTCCCTCGGCCAATAAAGTGAGATGAGCGCTGCAACCCCAGAGTCGGCCACGCCTGGACCTAATGGTCAGGGGTCCCTTTACCTTTACTAGACATGTGTAGGATTATGCTGTCAAAATATAAACATCAAGAGAGAACATTACAAGGCACATTTAAAAAATATATTTTTTTAAAAAAATAGCACGTGTGTGTGTGTGCATCTGTGTTTACATGTGTACAACCAGTGACTTAAAGCCCTACCATGGGGGGAAGTGGGGGCAGAGAGAATCACTAGAGGATGTTTTCTGGAATTCAGAGAGAGAGGACATGTTGTTCACAATTATAAAAGTTCTGAACAGCAGCTCATTCATCCAGTTACTGCTTCCCCTCCCCAAGTGAAAAGACTGAAAATACTAAATATTCCTGCAAGTATACAAATCTTGGGACACCAGGATCCAGATCAGATGATAAACTTCACCCAATCTCTGGGAAGGATAGCAAGTGCTCAAAATACAGTAGTATTTCAGCCACATGCAGTTTTTGCCAAAAATGAACCAATAATCTAGCAACAGCCTCAGGCTGCAATCCTATACCCATTTAACCTCTGAGTAAGCGGCATTAATGGGACTTACTTCTGAGTAAGCATGTGTAGGATTGCACAGTGTTTAATCTAAGACAACGACTCATTCTGCATTTTATATGGCTTTCCCATTCAATCCATTAGTCTCCCCTTCACTTTTTTAAACATATAGTGCTTCTGGGTAGAAAAACAGAATAACATAAAACTCCATTTTTCAGAGAGAGAGAGAGAGAGAGAGAAAAGATGAAAGTCTTCTACCACCAGGGACTGTCAACAAACAAATCACTGCAAGTTAAGCATTTTATAGAGTTCACGCAGCGTGTGCAAGAATCACACGTGAGCCTAGAAACTTCTTTTCATTATTTACAAATTATGGATGTCTACTTGTCTGGGCTTTCTATAGTAATAATTATTTGTGAAATTCTAATACCAGTGCTTTTCCAGATGAGTTTATTCCTTTCAGAAATTATTTATAGGAACTGTATCAGAGGAAGCTTTCGGCTCATTAAATATTTCTATTCACTCTATTTTCAAGGGGGATATATCAAGTTTTATTCATTTCAAAAGGGTGTATTTAACACCTCAAAGAGGAAACTCAAACACATTTTTCTCTGATGCAATTATTTCAGCCGAAACAAATAAAACAACCATAACGTAATTGTGTTTTATAGTAACAAAATCCTGCACTCTGTAGGCTAACCATTGCTTTTTATTAAAAAAAAAGATGGTATTTGTTGGTTCCACATTTCTCCTTGACTGAGATCTACCATAATTTACACTTTTTTTTAAATGGTTAAGTCCCTGTGAGGTAATTTTGCCACATCCATTTAGTGTGGCAATTTCATACTGAACAAATGCATCTTTGCTGTATTTTGGCCCCTTTTTGCACTCCATGAGCTATTAAAGTTAATAATAGTAATAATTTTTATTGTTTATACCCCACTCATCTGGATGGGTTGCCCCAGCCACTCTAGGCAGCTTCCAACACATATAAAAACATAACAGCAAGGATTAAAAAATTAAAAAGTTGTGCTGTGTTTTTTTAAAAAATATTTTTATTAAAGATTTCTTAATTTACAAAAATACATGCATTGTCTCCTTCTCAAGTTGTATTTTCTACAGATCAGTTTCATTTGTTGTGAGGCTTTAGTATTGCATACAATGTTAGGTTAGAAAGAAAACGGGGGGGAGAGGGGGAAATGGTGAGTGGGGTGGGGTGGGGTGGAAATGCTTCTATTCTACTTAGTGTATGTGTGGGGTTTTGTGTCAGCGTCACATGTGGGTTCTCTTACTACAGGGGTGCCCCGCAAGACGAATGCCTCGCAAGACGAAAAACCCACTAGACGAAAGGGTTTTCTGTTTTTCGATGCGCTTCGCAAGACGAATTTCCCTATGGGCTTGCTTCGCAAGACGAAACGTCTTGCGATTTCTTGCGATTTTTTTCGCTTCCCCCCCTTTTTCTAAGCTGCTAAGCCGCTAATAGCCTTTTAGCCGCTAAGCCTTTAATAGCCGCTAAACTGCTAATAGCGCTAAGCCGCTAATAGGGTTGCTTCGCAAGACGAAAAACCGCTAGACGAAGAGACTCGCGGAACGGATTATTTTCGTCTTGCGAGGCACCACTGTATTCACTTGTTGTATTTCCTTGGTGGTGAAAGAGGCGGGGTGTGGCTTAGGGTGTGGTTGGTTGTCTTTGGTTGGCTACAGTGAGATTTGTTTTTGTGTGTGAGCTGGGCATGTGTGTGTTTTTGGATCAGGTTAGCCATATTGACTTGTATGCTATCGGTGGATTCTTGTTGTTGTGTTGTTGGGCTGTGTATGTGATAAAGGGGAACCATACCGGGGTGAAGGCGTCTTCTCCTATGAGTTTTTCTAATAAGGCTGTTTCCCATACTCTTTGATACCACTGGTCCATGCTTACTCCTGACCGGTCTTCTCCAGTGTCTGGCTATGATGCTTCCAGTTGCTGAGAATAGATGGGTTATGAAAAGTTGCGCTCTGGTATCTTAAATACCAGCTCCTGCTGAGGGCACTTCAGGAACAACCTATGTGGGTCTTAAGAATACGGCACACTCCTAATTAACTGTGCCAGAATGCAATGCACCCACACCAAATAGTTTCTCCTTTTCCTGATCTGTATCCAAAATACTGAACTGAAATCTACATTGCTCCATGCAAATGAATATCCAGCTGGACATATGTGAATCAGCTTTCTTCAAGGGGCCTTCAGCACACCTCCACACACTATGGCAAAGCCAAGGATAGAATTTCGGTCCTGCACGCCATAATTTCCTGTCTTTCACTAATCTGCACTAGGCCCTAATGTTATAATAATGTCATTTTTGTGTGGGTGTGATTGAATTATCCACAGCATTAAGAGGATCTGAGGGGTTACGAGAGCACATACTTCTCAGCACACACAATTACCAAGCGGTATTAAGCCCCATCCGTGCGCCTCCAGTTAGCAGAACTGGGAGACAGCGACGTCATGAGACAAAAGAGCACTTTACGGTTGGCATTCGGCCTGATCCGGCAAGCCCTGTGCATATAAAAGCTCCCACTGAAGTAAGCGAAAGCCCTCTTCCACAAATTCCACAGCATTATTGAAAGCAAGCGGCAAATCTTCAACATTCAAAGTGGAACATGTTGACAGGTTGGGTGGCTGCTTCTTTCTTATAGAGGGTCGTGCATGAATTGTAGTCACTCTGCAGACTTTAATGATAGGAAGAGATTGAAATGTGTCCTATTTCTGGGGAATCTGAAGAAGGCCCACTGAGATTTGAAAAGCACAGCCTGCCTGTTAGCAAAAATTCTTGCTGCAGAGAATTGCTGCAGGGAAAAAGGGGGCAAGCAAGGGAAAAATAAAAGAAACAGACCCCCAGCCGTGTTAAAGTAAGCCGGCACCACTTATCTGCCTTAGTTGACTGTGAGGCTTTCACTCACACAATCCATAAGGATCTAACTGAGGAAAAGGGTGGCCTTTATTTTCATTAGTCCAATCGTGTTGTGCTATCATGCAAAGTCATATTTCAGAGCTATGGGAATGCATTTGGGTGAGCCCAAGGCTCACATGTTTCCCCATCTTCCCCCTCTGTGCAAGGTCACAAGATCGGAAGATCAGAAGATTTCACTTCCATTATATTTCCCATACATTGTGGCTACTTGTTTCCTCCAAACTAAGAATGGTGCTTAGGGTTAAGTGTTGTTTAAGGAAACGATGCGGGATAATTAATGTAGAAGTTGGTTAGTCTCCCTAAATCACAGTTAAACTAACCACAGTTTCTCTGGCTTTGGACATTAAAAAGTACAGCGGAACCTCAGTTTTCGAACATAATCCGTTCCAGAAGACTGTTCATCTTCCAAAACGTTCAAAAACCGAGGCGCAAAGGGCTGTTGGCAAATTCAATTGAGAAAATTGAAAAACATGCAGCGGAAGCTATTAGACTTCTGATGCACGTTCGAAAACAGAAGCATTTACTTCTGGGTTTTCGGCGTTCGGGTTCCGAAACATTAGTCAACAGAGACGTTCGAGAACCGAGGTTCCACTGTAACTGGTTATTTGAAAATGGAAGTAAAAGCTTCTAATCTCTTTCTCACAGTCATGTCGGAAGAGAGAAGGCAGAAGAAGAGTCCAGAGCTTTGGGCACATAATGCAAAACCTTAGTTTAGTATTATGTATGAACCAGATTAGCGAGTAGAAGGGATGGCCAAATTTGTCCATTTTGATTTCCCTCAGATTCTCATTATTCCAATCTTAAATTCAGTTCACATTTCTGTAGCAATATAACTTCTAGCACATTTGCAAAGCTAAATAGGGTCTGGTATGGTTTCAAATTGGATGGGGAACCAACTGCATGTTGAGATTTCCTGCATTGCAGGAGGTCGGAACTACATGACCCTTGGGATCCATTCCAACTCTATGCTTTGATGCCGGTTCTTTCAGTTTGCAATTTAAAAGAACAAAAGTTATCAGAAAAATTCATTAGCAATTTAAAGTGAATTTCTCCTAATAGACTTTTTTTTTTTGCAATTTTGCCTAATATACACATTCTTACAAAGCAATTTTTGCTAATACTTTACCCCATTTTTTGTAGACATGATTTGGCTGGAGAACTGTGCTGCAACATTTGGAGAAGTGCAATTTTTGGGAGTTTTGG